TTCCTGATTGAGTTCTTGATATATATAAGTTAATGAGATTAATTTATTCGTGCATAAATTAATATAATCTATAGAGTATCTCAAAAGTTTTATGAAAATTTTTGTTATACACGATCCGCCTCTTCCCCCCCTCACCACGCTTCCGCAGCCGGATTCGATTCGGCAACCAACAGAACCGACTTCTTCTTTTTCTTTAAAGCATCTTCATTGCCATAAGTTTTCACCATCTTATTTTATCACCTTCAACTGTCATCAACATCTTGTTGCACTCTTTTACTCCTGCAACTTCTTTAACAACAGATGAAGACTCTTCATGGCTTGGCTCCACCTTCATAGCTCCACCTACAACCGTAACCTCTCTTAACTTGCATAAAACCACCATTCGCATAGTACTCACAACCCAAAGTGTCTAAAGTCCCCAAAGAAATTGTACTTCTCCTTAGTTGAGAAACATGCCTAACATTTGTCAATGTCCTTACAACTCCATCAAATATCTTCACTTTCACAGTACCTATTCCAACAACTTTAACACTAGAATTATTAGCCATCAACAAAGTACCGGCATCACGGGGCTTATAAGAATCAAATCACTCTTTATGTGGACACATATGAAATGAACATCTAGAATCTAAAATCCAAGAGTCATAATTATATTCATCAGCAATAACAAAATACACATCATCTTCACTGTCATACATGTCGCCAACAACATTTGCAGAATCTAAAGTCTCTTGAGTTTCTTGCTTTCTCTTTTCTTCAACGTGTTTTGTCAGTTCTTCACAATTTCTCCTAATATACCCCATCTTATGATAGTAATAGCACTCAATATCCTTCTTTGGACAGGATTGGGAATGATCATCTCTCTTATCATAACATCTTCCATGTGACTTGCTCCTACCCCTATTCGAATTTGACTGTGTCACTAATACTTGTTCAATATGAGACGTAACGCTAAACTTTTTCATATTTACAGTCTCTAACAGACCAGTCAACGCTGTCTTTCCAACTAACAATGTAGTCACTAAAGTCTCATATGATTTGAGTGCGGGTGGCCAACAAAATTACTGCTTTATCTTACTCATCAATTTTGACCTTTACACTTAATAATTGAGTTATGCACTTATTAAAATTATTCATATGGTCCCTAACATCACTTTCCTCATCCATCTTCAACTCATACAATTGCTTCTTCAAATATAGTCTATTTGTTAGGGATTTCAGCATATAAACTTTTTCTAATTTTTTTCATAACTTATAAGGAGATGTTTTATTTATAACACTATATTTCAATTTACAAGCTAAACTTAAACGAATTGTGCTTACCACTCTCGCTTCTAATTCTTCTCAATCTTCATCTTTCATATGTTCTGGCTTCTTTCCTTCCAGCGCTTTCAGTATTCCTACTGAATTAGAACATCTTCACCGTACTCTGTCATATGTTGAAATTACTCTTCATGTCAAAACCCTCAATCTGCTCAAACTTTATCCCGGACATCATCTTGATGTTTTTTAATCTTCACCACTACTCTGATATCAGTTGTTGAGAAAAAAATACACCCCTACACTCACGTAGCAGAAAAAATAAACTGAAACAAAAAATAACAAAAAAACATATCAGACAAAGATTTACTTGGTTCAAGAGAGAGAAAAAATTCACTAACAGCTTCAGAATTACACACTCAATAAATTTTCTCAATTTTCTCACTTTCTCTCTCTACCCAAAACTCCTTACACCCTTTGTCTATCTCTCTTATCACTTTTCTCTCTTTCTCTCAAAAGGAGTCACTATTTCTCTGTACTTTTTTATGAGCACACATAAAACTTTGCACAAAACACTTATTTATAAACTCTTATGACCCTCGCCCAAAAAATAGAAAACGGTAACTTACCTAAAAAATACAAAATATTAACTTTCTTAAACCAATTTGAGTTACTTACCTAACAATTCATACATATATACATATATAATATTATATAACTATGAAAAAAGGAACCATCACGTGCTAGTGAGTAGTAGTGAGTCTAGTGACAGCCAAATGTGTATAGGTGGCACGTGATGCAAACTAGTAAAGGAATTGGCTAGCTCATTTTGATCTCTCTCTTTAGAGCAGTCTTTGACTAGGTCATGAATGATTAATATATATGCTTAATTTAGGACAAGCATATATCTCTACATATAGAAATGTTTTGGTTTGTAAGAAGACGGAGGAAAAGGAAAAACCAAAAGAATAGAATAGAATATAAAATCTTGAGATCTAAATCAATGAAAGCAACAAGTGCATATGGGGGAGGGATAATATGTCTAGGAGGTGACAGTTCAATCCTTGTGATTGTCAAAAGGAACCAGAAACAAAACAAAAAACAAAACAAAACAAAAAACAAAACAAAACACATAAATAATTTCCAATTAACAAAATAAACAAAATTTTGAATGAAAGCGCTTCCCTAGATTTTATGTTACGTGCTCTGTTTATATTTAGTATTTCAATTTTTGCCCATTAAATAAACTCACATGACATGCATTGAGAATTGAAGGTGGTATTCAAAGATTTGAATACTTCACTATACTTGATTAAATTTAGGAATTAGTTTTGTTTTAAAATTAAAACTTTAGGACAAAAAATTTAAGGATAAAAAAAGAGTCAGGTATGTTTAAAAATAGTCTCTAGAAATGCCACAAGAACGAAGCACATTAAGAATTTTGCCCCTCCAATAAGGACTTAGATTTTTGCCACTTCAGAGGACTGGTAAAAGATAAAGATCCTGTTCATTTCGCTGATTCGAGTTTAGAATTTCAGTTTTCCTATAGTAAAAAGCTCTCACAAACAGTTACATCTAACTTTTTTACTACAGTAAAAAACTCTCACATAAAGTCACATCTCAACTCGAATTAAAAACTCAAATTAATGAACTAAACGATATTTTGTTGATATTTTCCGATCAATCGCTAGGGAGTAATATATTATATTGTTAGTGGTACTTTACCGGATTGTCATATGTGGCCAAGTGTATATGTAAACGTTCCAACACACACAACGCATCTATCCTCGTATGTCTAAAGTTTTATCTCTTATTCTTAATTAATATTTTTTATTACTAATATAATTATTTAACTAAAAAAATATTTATCAAGAATAAACAGAAAAATCCACACTCATACGCTATTTATCTCCTCTCCCTTACCAACTTGGATGAGTTTTCTTTCTTTTTGGGCCAGTGTACATCGTTGGGATGAGTTAACAACTTTGTCTGGGCCTAAAGATAGACATCTCACATAAACAGTCAGAACACATTGCCCAGAAACTTTACACAAATGATGTTTATGGGAATATTTTAATATATAGGATATAGGTGATATTTCAAAATTTCAAAAGATTAGGCTGACAAATATGCCCCTCTGCCAACTCTACTTTTCTTTTTTTTTTCCTTATAAAATTTAGTCAATTATAATAATTTAATCAGTTTTCTTATGCCTCGTTTACTTCGCGGATTCGAGTTTTCAATTCGAGTTGAGATGTAATATTTTTTGAGAGTTTTTTACTGTAGCAGAAAAAGTTAGATGTGACATTTTCTGAGAGCTTTTTACTGTAAAAATTTAAAACTGAAAACTCGAATCGGTGAAATGAATGAGGCCTTCAACGTTCCCCCATCATTTTCTTTGTTTTTTCTTCGACATATTATCATTATCATAATTTTTTTGTTACTTGTAGAAGGTATATATATCGTGTTATCATTATTATCATTTTCTTTGTTACAATCCTATAACTGTATGTAATTAATTATAATCTGAAGATTGAGATATCAGAACATAATACATGTTTGCTTTCGAATAATTTTACTGGTATTTCATACATAATTTTATGGATAAGCTAGATCCCTATCTCAAAAAGTTCCAATAAGATGTAGAAACAATCGTAGTATTATTGTTTTTATAATTTTTTTGTTTTTTACCTTTCCTTTTTGGCGGAGGTCTAAGAGAATTATGTATATGCAATAGAGGTTAGAGCATCAGTTCAAATAAATAATATGGTTAGACCAAATCTCAACGTAACAATATTATTCTTTTTCTAAATACCAAGTCAAATATTAAACTTAATTCTAACACCAATTTGAATAAATATAATACAGTCAAACTATAAGTTGGTCATCATTTTATTTGATTGGGTATATTTGGCAGCCATACCACAAATTAAACATATGTTTATATATATATATATATATATATATGTATCTATCTAAAATTAACCCACCTAGCTTTACGATATAGATGCAACCGTCTAACATGAATATTGTCTATTGAACAAAACTTTTTCTATGTTAATTTAGGCTAAGATATAAGCCAATAGTTGAATAAATACAAGACCGTGGTTTAAATAATTTTATTTGGTTGAATATTTGCATTCCCATACCCTTACTAATTATACATGTGATCGTTAATTTGTCTCCAACGATCATTCTCCATGCACAATAATTGTCAAAATCACTATTACATTTAAAGATGATATCATCTGAAAAGGCACCAGATGATCATTTGCGAGGCAGTTAAGTAGAAAGATACAATATATATATATATATATATATATATGTTACACTAATCAATACCCTTGACTATTTTTTGTTCTCATTATTTGCCAATGTGTATAGAGCTTAATTCTTTACTCTCCTTTATCATTTCAAACCCTAATTTTAAAACCCATCTTAATTCTTAACTCTCTTTTGCTTTCTTTTTTTATTTTTCATAGTCAAATACCTCACAAATTCAACACCATGCATGTAATACATGGAAATTTAGTCATACAAGAAAACAGATTAATATTAACAACTAATAACTGGATTTAGCCGGCTTAAGCAGGCTTGGCCGGCCCTACTATAGCCACTAAAGTCTTATTATAAATACAAGAACAATTTTTCATAACATTACATGTTATAACACAAATATATATAACATTAACAACTGATCAAAAGACTACTTTAGAGAGAGATATTCAAAGTTAATTAATATGAGGCAAGCAGGGATTTATTCAGGTATAAGGTTTGGAGGGGGGAGTGGGGCCCACTCGTTGCCGTTGGCGAGGATCAAGAAGATCATGAAGCGATCATCATCATCTGGGGAGGAAGTGAAGATGATATCTGGGGATGCCCCCGTAGTGTTGGCCAAGGCCTGTGAGCTCTTCATTAATGAACTCACCCGAAAATCTTGGACAATGACCTTGCAAGGCAAGAGGAGGATTGTCCACAAAAACGACGTCGCTTCGGCTGTCGTCTCCACTGATTTGTTTGATTTCTTGGAGGGTTTGGTCTCTGATTGTTGTGATCACTGCGTCCCTGCAGGGGATGATGATCATCAGATTATTATTAATAATGCTCCGGTGGAAGGGGAAACTGTTTTGGAATCTTAGATCATTCTCTCTCTATTTGATCTCTCTCTCTCTCTCTCTCTATATATATATATATATATATATATAGATACACATATATGTATGGCAGTATATGTTAAATCTGCATTACATATAAGAAATTTTAATAAAATAAAGTGAGGAGCTTAGTGTGGAATCGGAGTTTTAAAAGGTGCCATAATTGAGATGTCTTAATTCGTTTTGGTACCGTTTGCGCCTTCTCATTATTTGTTCAAAAAAAAATGACTTATATATCGTTCACGCATGTAGATATAAAGATGCGCGCATGCTGTATTGTGTTAAAGTATTTGATTATGATTTGTTAGTTACTTTTGCATTAATTCATGCATTTTTTTTTAATTTAAAAGTGTCAATTAATTGAGTCAGCAAAGTGTGAGTCAACTCCCACTTAAAAAATGGAAAGAAAAAAAAAAGGAAAGAAAGAAAAAGCTCTGTTTTGCTTTATCGTTAATTAGAACTCATCAAAGTTTTTTGAGGTTTAAATGAGTAATTTGAAGTGAAAACTTTACCATCTATGAATATGAAGGTCTAGGTGAAAGTGTGATTCTCGAGATAATTAACCTTTGAATGATCATGTATGGGGTCCAAATAAAAACTTTCAAGCAAATTATGGGTCCATTTAGTTTACTGATTCAAGTTTTTAATTCAAGTTGAGATGTGACTTTACGTGAGAGTTTGTTACTGTGACAAAAAATTAGATGTGAGTGCTTCTGATAGTTTTTTACTGTAATAAAATTTGAATTCTAAACTCAAATCGGTAAAATAAATCGGGCCTATATCTTAACTTAAATCTTGATCTCATATGATGAATGGATATCCTATCATACTTAGAGATGGAAGATGATGTTGTTCTAATATCTACTGATTTCTTGATTCAATTCAACTAGCACGGTTCTTTGGAATGTGGCCCGAAGCTTGCTGGCTGCTAGTCCAGGCCCAATATTTAATAAGAACAAAACAAACTTGAGTAATCTTTATAAATACTTTTAAATGTATATGGGTTGAAATTTTTATTCTTTACTCTTAATTCATAACTTTTTTAATTAAATAATTATACTAATAAAAAAATATTTATCAAGAGTAAAGAGTAAAGATTCAGACTCATACACTTTCAAGCGTAAATTCTTCATTTTTTCAACAAAAACAAACGCTGCCCAACTCAAACTTTTATTTTGAAGCTCCAAAATATTATCCAATCCTATCGACTTTCATATCCTAATTATCAGTCATCACAAAATATCAATAATCATAATTAACTTGGATGAGACTAGTAGATTAGCATAGATACGGATTCATTAAAATGTATCCAAATCCACCTCAGGGCATTGATATTGTTCACATACAACGTCAATACTAATGCATAAGAAATTAAGGGAAGCTAAAATGTTGAACACAATTAACACACATCTTATAGTTAAAAAAAAAAAAATTACATTCCATATAAGTAAGAAGTTTTTGCATTAATGGTACTCTTTAAAGTCTCACAATAAGCACATACAATCTTCGAAAACACCCCAAAAAAAAAAACAAAAAATCCTCTATACGAAATGCATATATAACTGAATCTAAAATTAGGCTGAGAAGCAGCTAAAAACAATGTTGTCGGTAAGGCCATTACTACCACCAGAGACCAAAAACTTGTTGTCCATCCCAAAAGATTGTGGCCTAGATTTCTTCATCTCCGCATTCTGAATATTGCAGCTCTCAGAATCCGACGTCGTTTTAGGAGTGCTCTTTCCATTGCCTGAAGCTGCTAAATTTCTCTCCATTCTCCGCCTCATAACATACTCTTCGGGAATAAACACATCCATATATTGATAATAATAATAATAATAATAAATATTATAATCCTATTTATTCCCGAATGGAGTGGTAAAAACAATGGGGTAGCAAAGTTGCACAATTTATAAGTACTGAACACAAATGTGGGAAAATGAGATTATATATATAGGGAAGATCAATGAAGAGAAAGGATATATGTATATATACACACACATATATATATATATGTATATGATATATAGATATACCATGGGCGTTTTTGAGTGTACCCCATGTTTTTCTTCAAACAACCAAAAAAAGTGGTGGTACTCTAGTGATTTTGCTGGTAATTAATGAAGTTTCCAAGAAGCGTATATTTGGTTTTCGGAAAAGCTTTGTCGTTTGCTCTGTGCATGTAATTAGTGTAACGGTGCACGTAGAACACGTGTAAAGGTGAACTAGTTTTCTTTTTCCCACTCTAGACGAGTGTTGCACTGAAGTTGAAAGTGAAACAGCAACGTCTTAATTGATCTGTTTCCTGCCACTCTGACCTAATTGTTTGATTTCATTAATATTCTCTTAATTTAATGTTTTTTCTTTTCTTTTCTTTTTGCTTTTTGGGTTTTCTTTTTTTTCTTTTTTCTTTTTTTTTTCTTTTTATTTGATAGCTAAACATCGTAGAAGTGAAAGGTTCATAGCAATATTATTGTACTCGATATCAATTTGATTAAAGGTTAAACCATAACACACCAGAATAATATTTTTTTCAGAATTAATTATTGCACCATTTGCCATTTTTAGAATTATATTAGTGCTTAATATGCACCAAAGCACTAACGAGGAAAAGAAAACAAAATAGAAACTCAAAACGACATACAATATACCAACATTTTATGTGTGTATTATCAAAAATACTATAGTCGTATTTGAAATTAATCTCGTTTTTATATTTCACGATTTTTAAGAAAGATAAAATGAAAACGTTTCTAAAACGGCGTTTAACGCAATAAAGACAAAATAAAAATGAAAACGATTTTTTAGTTTAGTGTAAAATAAGAGAGAAATGAAAATAACTTTTAATCGTTTTTCATTTTTTATTTTTATTTTCTCCTCTCTCGAGCATAGAGAGAGAAAAAGAGACATTAATGGGTTTTTTACACTGAAAATAATTTCTTGATAAAACTACCAAACGCATTTTTAAAAATAATTCTGTCTAAGATTGAAAACGTTTTCATTTTCATTTTCGTGTAAAAAATAAAATCATTTTAAAACGAATTTCAAACGCGCCCTATATATCATGAAGACAAACCACATGACACGTGTCAAAGTGTCCGACAAAGCTTAATTAAGCTTCGAAGATACTCTCTAGTCTTCTCCATATTTAATATTTTAGTGACTTTTTATAGCTCAAGTGAATGGGAACAAATATAGATGACTAAGCATGTGATATCCGGTCCAATTAGGTAAACAATTCAAATAATTTTATGTCTCAAAAGTCCAAAGCATGTCTTTGGTCGGTTAGACTAATTAGATAAAAAGGTCAAGTAATTTAATGAGTTCAAGATAAGATAGTTAATAATTACGGCCATATAGAGTTAACCGTGTAAATCTTCAACTAATATTTTTAAGATCAGACAAAAGGTAGAAAACAAACCAATTATTCATAGAATAATTGCTATTATAACATGATCGTCAATAGAATATTGCTATTATATAACTTAATTCTCAGTTAATTTGGATACATATGCTTTTAGTTTCAAGTAGAGATAAGGAAAAGTTGACCATTTGACTAGCTATGTCGTGGTGCCCTAAAGCCGTGTTTTAAGCCTTCATCACGTTCGAGAAACTTTAGGGTCCGTTCACTTCGTTGATTTGAGTTTATAATTCGAGTCAAAGATGTGATTTTGTGTGAGAGCTTTTTACTGTAGTAAAAAAGTTAGATGTGACTGTTTCTGAGAGCTTTTTACTATAGTAAAACTCGAATTCTAAACTCGAATCAGCGAAATGAATGGGGCCTTAGAAAAGATGTACGGAAGAAAAGAAATTAATTCCCTGATTATTATTAATTAATTTTAATTTTAATATTAATTCTTAGTTAATTTATGCTTAAACCGTGGGTCATGCATATGCTTACGGTGGGCTAGGTCTTTCTTTGTGTAACATTGGTGGGGACATAACACCCCATTTCTTGCCACAAAGTTGAAATTATGAAGTGATTTATGACCAAATTTGCAAAATAGATGTTTTTTTTTTTTTTTCACAATTCTCATAATACGTTACAAGAACAAACACATTGGTAATCCCACCAGAATCTCTATGCCCATAGGATTCAGCCGTGGATCTTAAATGACTCGATATGATAATTATTCATTAAAAAAAAAGAAAATGCTAAAAAAAATCCAATATTCTATTTATTTTCTTTATTTTTAATTTTTTTAGCATGAGATCAAAGAAGTACACATCTTTCTTTTTCACATTCTTCATTATTGAGTCAAAAAGGGAGAAAAAATAACAATTCCATTCCAAAAGGTACTGAACTCAACCAGGGAATCATGCGTAGGAGGACACTTCCTACATTTGCAAAGCGTGTAAGTCAACAGAATATGATCATATTTGTGCAAAAGTAAATAGAAAAATTCCAAAAAAAAAAAAAAACCAATTTTTTGTCATTTATTTCTCTTTTAATTTGCATATATGGCAGCTGACCAACCACTTCAGCCTCTCTTTACTCTACTGCCTTGACGGGGCTCAGGCATATGCCTTTCAATCCAGGGCCACTTAAATATACTTGACTCAAGAAAAGATTCCCTTTTTTTTAAGAAAAAACAAAATTATATGGAGCTCTCTACGTTGCATGCCTATATATAATTAGGGTAATTGGTACAGATTGTCACCAACCTCTTTAGTATGTGATAATTTAGTTTTTGATATTTTTTTTATTAAACGACCCATAACTTTTTTAAACAGGTGATAAGTTCATTATTTTCATCAAGATCTATCCAAATTTTAACGAGAGATGCCCACGTGACTCATTAATTTGGGGTATATGTGTAAAAACACATCCTTGGTTGATTTAGGTGTGGTTTATACGGTATAAGAAAGAGAATTTGGGGCTGAAATTTGGGATAATTGCTCTGTAAGTGTAAAAAAAATCTAGGGTTCTTGAAATTTCTTTAAATTGGGACTGCAATAGAAGAAACCTCATTGTGTGATTGTAAAATTCAGAAACCCACGAAGGTGATGACTTCTTGGACGAACTTCAACTCTGGGCGCATATTTTATGGGTGCCATTTATATGGGGTAAGCTTTGATTTTGGGTTATTCAATTGCTCCTAATTTGAAATTTGTTATTTGTGTTTAAATTTCTTTTTTTCTCTACTCTTTTCTAGCGTGATAGATGTCGGCCTTGTGACTATGTTGTGTGGAAAGACACACCTATGTGTAGAAGATCAAAGATGATCATACATGAGTTGCTGAGAAGGGTTAATGATTTGGAGGCTCATTGAGGAAATAGAGAATACTCACCTTGTTTGTAAGCTGAAATTGTGAAACATTTGTGGGAATGTAATGTAAAATATTTTTTTGAATTTGGCCGGTCTCTTCTGTAACATATTGGGCCATCTAAAATAGATTTTGTGTTGAAGAACCTGAAATGTGTGCTATTAGGGATCAAACTGTTAAATTGGGGACCAACGTGTCACCTACTAAATAGTTTAGGGACCAACGTGAGTTTGCCCTAATTCTTAACCTTAGGGCAATTTCGTCATTCTACCGTAAATAGATGACATGTGGGGGGTTACGTGGGTTTCTCCTGTTAGGATTTAGACGGATATTGACGAAAATGACCAACTTGTCACATGTTTAAAGAGGTTGGGGGTCGTTTAATAAAAAAAAAAGATTAAAGACTAAGTTGTCACCTACTAAAGAGGTTGGAGACCACCCGTACCAATTACCAATATAATTAAAATCACATTAAAATGAAAATGTATATAAAATTTATAAAACTTAACGGTTGAAAATAAAACCTGGTTCAAATCAGAACCCTATCATGTGACAATAAAAACCTCAATTTTTTTTATTCATACTCTTTGCTGGCTGTTTAGATGGAGGTTCTTCAGCCATGATGATGATGTAGATGCTGTAGGACTTTTGCATCATTTTGACAACTAAGAAATGCCCCGTTTCAAGTGTCACTTTGCAGAGCATGTAATAATCAGCTGGCATGCATATGCCATGCCTTCACCATCTCTCGCCTTAAAGCAGAATTTGCATGCGTACCAAAGATCCTCCTTCTGAATATTATTCATGCAATAAGGGTATATATATGCTCAATAAATATGTATTTGTGACAAAAGGGGACCAGTTTTTTTTTTTTTTTTTAATAATGTTGGTCAAGATAAGCAATTCTCTTCAACTGTTTTCTTAACTTGGTTCTTAATGCACTATAGAAGTGTTGTCTTTTTCCAGCCTTGTGGATATTATTATTCCAAAAGAAGAACAACAAATTCTCTGTATAATTTGAAGGCAAGCTATTTAAATATGGCCCTTTTGCTTAATTAACACACATAAATGTAACTTTCAACAATAATTAAACCTTTTAGGAGAACTAATAATCTAAAACAAAAACTCACTCAACACTCCATAACTTTGTAAAACCAATAAATTAGGATTATAAATCTAAGAGAAAACACTAATAGGACGTTTGGTTTATGAATTCAGAATCATGAATCATGATTTTGATTTTTAAAATTTAAATTTTTTATGAGAAAAAAATACTATAAAGAACTTAGAATCATAATTCAGAATTAAAGACGAACTCAAGAAACAAACATCCCATAAGAAATTAAAAAATCCTATATGTGTAGAGCGGAAAAAAGCTTGCAAGGAATTGCAGCTTTTGAAAGCATGTGTGACACAGGCTTGAAAGAAAGAAAAAAAAAAAGCTTATGCCTTTGCCAGTTGCTGTGGTTGCCCAGGCTGGTTCAGTTGCAAATTCTGTAAATATTAGCTCTGAGAGCTAACGGACCATGTGCGCTTACCTGTTATCTGGTTCAGTTGCAAATTCTGTAAAATATTAGCTCTGAGAGCTAACGGGCCATGTGCACTTACCTGTTATTGTGGGCCAGCTTAATACTCGGTCCATTATAAACTTTTGGCAATGCTAAACACACACTGAGTTGCTTATGCTGCGCGTACAATCTGCCACGTGGTTACTTCCCGTGCAGCGAAATGCTGCCTCAAACTTGACAACTGGACACTTCTCAACATTTATGCTCCGTTTGTTTTGACAATTTTAGAGCTCGTTCATTTCGCTGATTTGAGTTTAGAATTCGAGTTGAGATGTGATTTTATGTGAGTATTTTTTACTGTAATAAAAAAGTTAAATATGATTGTTTTTAAGAACTTTTTATTGTAACAAAACTCAAATTTTAAACTCGAATTAATAAAATAAACAAAATTTTAACTTAATTTATAATTATGATTCTTAATTTATTATAATATTTTTATCTTATAAAAATTAGATTTTCAAAAATTAAAATTATAAATTATAATTTTTAACACATGAACTAAACGTCATTTTAATACGCCAGACAAACATCCGTACGTTGTATCGTGAGAAAAGAATCCTTTTTTTTTTTTTTTTTTGCTAAAATCAATGAACAACTAGAGTTGTAACTGAATAATCTTTTGCCCTCTTTTGCGCGCAAGAAGTGGTCCTGAAATACGTTTTCTACTTTTTCTTTTTTCTTTTTCGTTTTCCTAGAAGAAATACGCATTCTAGATTCCTAAATTTGAAGGGGAAAAAATAAATAAATACCTATTCTAAATAAAACTCGTAAAACTCGTAAAATATTGATGATGAAGCAAATAAATAAATAAATGTTTTCATTGTCATTGTAATTGATTACGCGATGACTTTTGCTATTTGGAAAGAGTAAGAAGTAATAAATCAATTATTTGTTGGATCTTGTTATGCCTCGAGGTACTTTATTAGTAGAATACCTTTTCATACCATTCTCCTTATTTGTTTTTAAAAGTATAATATATTCAATTATTTTCTTTTGTTAATGTATTTTTTAATATTAAATTTGATTAAAATCTCGTAAAAAATATAAAAACGTACAAGATTAATGGGATTTAGTACACGTTTTAAAACAAAACCTTACTGGTAGTAAATATTTTTGTACCATTCTTATTTTATGGACTATCAGAACATAGTATGCCCGACCGTTCCATTTCTCACAACAAATTTGATGTAAGGTAAGCAATATCGATCATCTTAGAAAATTAGAAATGTCATTTTTTTTTTGTTACTTTGATATTAATGGAATCCTATATCTTTGAATTTTGATGCCACGGTGGTTCTGATAGTCCTATCAAAAATGATGAAATTTTGTTTGAGGAAATCCAAAAGGACCAAAAAGCTTCAATTCCTATACGTTTCCCCAATCAATTGCCAAAACATATTTCCCTAATCATCCAAATTCCCATGCGTTGTGTCACACGTTTTATGTTCTTATGAAGGGAGCGAGTGTTTTTTTTTTTTTTAATTTTTTGGTAGAAAATTAGAGAAGACATTTATCAATTGCCACGTGGCATGGAATAGTAGTAAGGAAACTTCTCATGGCCACCCTTTGAACACAGAGAACTTTAGAAGAATGGGGTTGTCCTTTGAGTTGTTACTTTTGAGATTAGGTTTGGGACTAGTTGTGATTTTGGATTTTAGGAGACGATTAATTCATGGATTATAATCATAAGATTATAATTATTTTTGATTTACGTGTATTTTTTGTGAGAAAAAATATTATAACGAACCATGAACCATGATTCGAATCGGGACAACCCCTTAGTATAATATCCGAATTTAACGCGTAAAACCTATAGCTATGTAACGCTTATCCACTTTTCATTTTACTACAGTTCGTACAATTTCTCATAGTAACTATAATGTCATTATATATATATTATGTATTTATAGGAAATGTTCTTAGGTCTCCTAGATAAGTAGCATCGTTATCGTTACGTTCGTTCACGTAACACTCATTTTTTATAAGTATAGCATGACTAAATAAATATATTATATACCATCATGTTACGTGTAACTTATTTTGATAATGTATGTTATACTAAGAAAATTATAAATTTATATAAAAAATATTATATTTGTTGTATTGTATGGCTGTCAAATTTAAGACGATGTCTATATATACGTATGTATACATGTAAGGCTTATTTAGTTCACTGATTTAATTTTTTAATTTGAATTGAGATGTAATTTCATATAAAAATTTTTACTGTAACAAAAAAATTAAATGTGATTATTTTTAAAAAATTTTACTCTAAAAATACTCGAATCAATAAAATAAACGGGACAATAATATTTTATAACATGTTAGGCATGCGTGCATACAATTACAACTCCACCTATAATAGGAAAATTTCCTAATTTCAACAAGTCATGACACCAAAGGACAACAATTCAGAGGGGAATGCTCTAGTCCTTGCTGAGCTGGCACCATCCAAGAAGTGCCACGCAGCAGGCGATGATTGGGCCAGCACAAACAAGAAAAAATAAAAAAACCTAATTAGGAGCACTCTTTAAGCAAAGCGAACCCTTTTTATTTCTAATTTGTTTGTCTAATCATATTTAATTAATTATCCTTTCGAGGTCAAAGAATGACTTTAGCTTTATGGGGAACGCCTAAATTAAGAAGGCCCATATATCATATTAAATATATTATATAATATTCATACATGGCAATATATCTTTTGTTGCCTTTTTGTCACAACCAAAAAACCTCCTCTCCTCTCCTTTATTTTATTTTATTTGCCTTACCAACACCACAACCAGCTATTTCCAGCGTACACATTTCTCTCTCTGTTAATATATATTTTTTTTTAAAAATTCTTTTTATTTTCTTGTAATCATCACATCTCCACTATAACTTTTGTCCGAACTCTGAGTTGGGTGGTTAAATTTGGTGAAAAATTTTGTGTTTTTTTTTTTTTGTTGTTTGGTTTTGTTTTTTCTCGTAGAGAAAGTGTTTGTAAGCCAAATTAGTAGTTTCTGTTTGTGCGTCTACAACTGTGGCGAAGCTTAAGGATTACGTTATGGGTGAGGAGGAACCGAAGAAAGCTACTGAAACTGAAACTCCGGATCCTGTGCCTGCAACTCCACCGTTACAGGCAACAGATCATGATGATCAGGACCATAAGGCTGTAGAGAAGAAAGAAGAAGAGAAGGAAGAAAAGAAGGACCAAGAAAAAGAAGGAAAAGAAGAAGAGAAGAAGGATGTTGCTGAGGAGAAGAAGAGTTTGAGCCCAGTTCCTCAAGAGAAGGCTGTTCAAAGTACTATACTCTCTCCTCTCTCTCTCTCTCTCTATATATATATATATATGTATATATGTATTGTGAGTGTTTGGTTTTCATGTTCTCTCTATATATATGTATATATGTATTGTGTGTGTTTGGTTTTCATGTTCTTTTGCCAAAGTGAAGTTTTTTCCTTCTCTTTTTCCTTCTTTTTTCCTTTTGCAGTACAATAATAGGTAGATTTATTTGGCCTGTTCAGTTCTTCAAGGTTAGGAAAATAATTGACTATAAATTTGACTAGTTTTCTTTGGGCGTTTGAATTGTTATTAGTGAAAAACCCAGGAAAAGAATTTTAAAAAAATGTTCATGTGTTGAAGTAGAATGAGTTTGCTGTTCCGATGGAAATTGATTTTTATTTGTTTTTAAAAATATTTCGTTTTTTTTAAGCATGAAAATAAAAACGGTATATAAACAGTATTTATAGTGGGAATAATTTTTATGAAAGAATTAAAAAAATTAAAATTTTTAATGCTTATTAATAATATTATAATATATTAATTAATAATTATAATTATTTTATTATTTATTATACTCAAAACAATTTTTTTAAAAATTAACCATCTAAAAGAATTCTCAAAACAGTCTATTTTTATTTTTATATCGAAAATAAAATATTTTAAAACGTGTCCTTTCTTTCCCTTTTTTTTTATTATTATTGTTATAATTATCATTGTACTTTTTTCGCTGGAATGTTATCATTGTACTTATTTTCATGGGACCTGAGAATATTTTCTTTTTTTTTTAAAAAAAAGAAAAAACATTATGCGATAATAGTATAATACAACATAAAAGGTGCAGACTCATAGTCATGAGTGGAGACCATTAGCCCGAGTAAGAGTCCGTTTCGTAGATTCGCTCTTCTCTCATTCGAATTATATTTATGGTTCATTACAGTATTTTTTTTTATAAAAAATACACATAAATTAAAAATAATTTTAATTATATAGTTTAAATCTATGAATTAAACGTCAAATGAAAAGAACTATTTGGTAAAGAAAAAGACATCTGTGATGAAAAAGGGGGGGAAAAAAAGGTGGGGTCTCAACTCTCATTTCCATGAAACATCAAAATGCTGACTTAATTCTATTAAGGACGCATTAATATTAACACAATAATTCTTTTGTTTTTTGATACATTATACTTTTTTTTTAGAAAAATTTGTTTTCATGTTTGTTATGGCGTTGAAAACAATGCTATTACTTCAAATGAATGCCATTGAACTTCTGCTACATAAAGCATTCAATAATTAATGTTACATTCAATCTGCAATTAATTAACTCGACACTCTGATTCTTAATCTTACCACAGAAATTGCAGATCCGGTTGTTGAGAAAAATCAAGAGGTTGACAGGGGTAAGTATCTAAAATCAATGCTCATGAGTTTTTAATTTGAGCTGAGATGTGATATTTTTTTAGAGTTTTTTACTGTAGTAAAAAAAATTAGATGTGACATTTTCTGAGAATTTTTTACTGTAGAAATTTAAAACTGAAAACTCGAATCGGTGAAATGAACGAGACCAATATTTTACATGAATCACATAAATACAAATTTCCTTTTCATATGTATCATTTGAACACGTAGACAAACAAGTTTCTGCAATTTTTTTCTTTTTTCCTTTTTTCCTTTTTAGATGCTGTGCTTGCCCAAGTTGAAACCGAGAAAAGGCTCGCCTTGATCAAAGCGTGGGAAGAAAGTGAGAAGACAAAATCTGAGAACAAGTAAGAGCCATCTATATTCGCTACCATTCTTTACCATAATGATTTATGAGACGTACCAAACGTCTCCTTAGTGATTTATGAAACTAAAATTCGCGAGAATTTTACGAGATTCGGCTTAAGAATAACTTTTGCAACGACCTACCTGTCTTCGGGTTTTATCATCTTAAAATCATGAGAGTTATAGGCTATTTTGTATTGTTGAACAGGGCATATAAGAAGTTTTCCGCTGTTGGAGCATGGGAGAACAGCAAGAGAGCTGCTGTGGAGGCGGAACTCCGGGCAATCGAGGTAAAAATCTCTCTTGAATTTTCTTAAGTAGACAGTTTTAGGATGCCATTGCAAACTTGCGGTGATAATTTGTTGGAATTATGCTATTTCTGTCCATGAAAAGTTGATAGTTATGAAAAGTTAATTATAATGATGATGATACTAGAGAATTTTTTTAGTGTTCTCTTTCGGTGTTTCTTACTTTTTCAACCGTTATATATGATTAAAATCACACTAAATTAAAAAAATATGCAAAACAGATAAATTTTAATATAGATCTAACGATTGCAGAAAACATGAAACACCGGTGTTTTTAAAAGGAAGAAAAACCCAAAAAGTCCCATAATAATAATAAAAGATATCCACTTATTATTTGTATGACCTAGAGAGTAACAGGAAACTCTTAACATGAAATGCCATTATACTTTATTCTTGGTATTAGCTATAAAACTTTTTAAGTTTTAGAGATGCCAGAAGAATTATATTAAGTGAGACCATATTTGATATATTTTAGAGAACAGACAACTATGTGGTTGAGACGCTTCTTCTTTCACTAAATAAAGGTGAAAACATCAAAAAAAAAAAAAAAAAAAATCTACATGCAGCTGGAAACTTTTTTGATAGAGGGGTATTTTCAGCCTTTAAAAAGCGTTTATCAGTCAAATTACACTTTTTTTTTCAGGAATATGGCCCAAAAACGTTACTGGGAATAAGAAATATGATAAAAGAATTTTTGCGTTTGAACTTGATTACATATGTTTCTCAATTATGGCAGGAAAAGTTGGAAAAGAAGAGAGCAGAATATACAGAGAAAATGAAAAACAAAGTGGCTGAAGTTCACAAGCTAGCTGAAGAAAAAAGGGCATTTGTTGAAGCAAACAAAAGAGAAGAATGCCTTAAGGTGGAGGAGACTGCTGCCAAATTCCGCGCTTCTGGGTTCAAACCGAAGAAATTGCTCCGATGCTTCGGTAGCTAAAAGCTTTATCAAGGAATTAGAAAAAAAATGGAAATAAGTTTCTATGTTTAGTTTGCATTTGAATTTTATTTTGTTTTTGTTTGCAGAAATTTGGTGTTGAATTCCTAGACGTTCTTTAATGTCCTATGATATGATTTTGTTTTTGTGTATAACTATACTAGTTTTATTTGTTAGTACGACCTCAGTTTAATTTTGTGTTGCTTTATTGAAATAACATATCGATATGATATGATAAGTGAAAATGCAAACGAACCGAGGTAAAAGTTAAGAATATGAGCTATTTAGTTTGTTAATTTGAGTTAAAATGTGATTTTATATGAAAGTTTTTTACTATAGTAAAACAGTTAGATGTGATTGTTTTTAAGAATTTTTTATTGTAATAAAATTTAAATTCTAAATTTAAATTCGTGAAATGAAATGATATGTCTTCTCAAGAAGAAAAAAAAAAACAATGATGAAGATGTTATTATTTTCGCCTCGCATCTTATCCTAAGTTTCAACCTGATTGTAGTTAAAGATATATACATATATACTCATTTTTCTATTAGGTATTTTCAAGTGATATAAAGCATGCACCCGACTCTATCTTCTTGAAATATTGAGTACAAATCCTTCATCTAGGTTTTTTTTTTTATTTAAAAAAAAGCAATTTGAATCTTAAAAGGGTTAATATTTCTGTTTGTTTCGCTAGTTTAAATTATAACTTAAGTTTATATTACAGTGTTTTTTCTCATAAAAATTTAAATTTTTTTTCGTTATAATATTTTCTCTCGTATGAATGCACTTTTTAACTCAAGTTATCAATTCGAACGAGCAAAACGAACGGGACTATCACACATGGGATAGGGTGACGTGGTGCTTGACTCTAAGAGGATAGATTTGATCCTTCATCGTTCCCTACCAAGTGAGCTGAAAATTCGATTTCTTTAATACCAACTACCAAGTATACTGGAATAAAGAAAGAAAAAATGGGATATTACTAGGGCGATGTTTTGGAATTGTTTCCTAAATGGTACTTTTGTTTTGTATTTCCTTGTATCAAACTGAATAATAATATGCCAAATTTATTTTTTTTTATGCATCTTATCTGGCTATATATATGGTAATACTATTTCGTGGATTAATGTCGTTCTCCCATTTGTAAACTCCAAATTAGTCCGTTCAGATATCAATCAATGCTATAAATTTGTGTGTAAGTCCCAAAAATTAGGGAAAATCCCACCACGTGTCATCAAAAATACCTTTCACCGCTCATTGATCCATTTCATTTTGGACCTCTAATCAAACCTTTGGTCTTTACAACTTACAAGTGAAATGGTAATTAAGGGTTGGCACCAACTTATTAATTTATAGTGTTCGTTCATAATCATATATCTCAATTTTGGAGATAAGAGAGTAGAAACTCCTTTGAGGTTTCTCACTGAACGTTCATTTTTTCTACAAAGTTATTTTTTCTTATCTTTTGCAGGACAGGAAAGAAAAATGTCGTTCAGTGGGACCCAACAGAAATGCAAGGCTTGTGATAAGACTGTCCATTTCATTGATGCGTTATCAGCCGATGGTGTTGTTTATCACAAGACATGCTTCAAATGCAGTCATTGCAATGGCCTTCTTGTGGTATATATATACTTATAAATATATATATATATATATTGCAAATACATGCGCACATCTTTTATTTTCATGACTCATACTACCGAAATAAATCTTTTGATTCATAAACATAGTAAGTATAAAACTATAATTACAGATATATAATTTAACAGTAATTTTATACTTGACTTTATCGTGAGGTGTAGAGTTCAAATCCTCATATTCGAGTATATATATATATATATATATATATATATATATATAAACGACATTGGAATATTAAAAAGAAATGGATCAATTATAAGAATATCTTTTATGCAGATAAGCAGCTACTCCTCCATGGATGGAGTCTTGTACTGCAAACCTCACTTTGAGCAACTTTTCAAGGAGACCGGAAGTTTCACCAAGAAATTCCAATGTAAATACCCGTTTGACTTTGCTCATAAACACTACTGAATTTTCTTGTGACACCACAAAGTATTTTATTTTTCCTTCATTTTTTTTGCAATATTTTGCTAATTAAATGTTTCTCTATCATGGATAATCAGCTGGAAAGCCACAAAATGATCAGCTGGTAAGTTACATATACATTTCTTGTATTCAAGACTTGGACTATATGTGTTATTTGGTCTATATATTAAATGTGAATTTCATATTTAAATGTGAAATTCCTTTTTTTTCTATTTTTCAGACGAGGGCCCCAAGCAAGCTATCCTCCTTATTCTCTGGAACCCAGGACAAATGTGCAGTTTGCACCAAAACAGTATATCCACTAGAGAAGGTTCGTAATCTCCCCTATGATATCATCCATATGATAAATCATGCCACAACAACGTTTGTGTTAGACTATAGAGTTTTTTTTTTTTTTTTTTTTTTTAAATATAAAATTAGACTATATAGTTAAATACAAATATTATGTAAGCAATGAGTAAATAAGTTGGTCAAAAATTAAAGATGTTCATATAAATTGGGGTTGGGCCTACCCCTTTTTCTCACGGAGTTGGAGGCTTACAGAACCCTCATTTTTTATTATATAAAAAATATTATTTTATCACCTAATAAAATGAACATCACAACTAATAAAATGTGAATCCTCTGCGTAAAACTTATAAATTGGATCCGTTATTTAAATAAAAGTGATCACCATCGCTGGTAATGATAATTTTTGTTCATAATAAGAACAAAAATGTGATCCCTATATTAATCATATGACCTATGATATGATGAGAAATTTAGACCCCATTAATTTCATCAATTTAAGTTTATAATTTGAGTTTTATTACAGTAAAAAGCTCTCAGAAACAATTATATCTAACTTTTTTGTTATAGTAAAAAACTCTCATATAAAATCACATCTCAATTAGAATTAAAAATTCGAATCAGCGAACTAAACGAGTCCTTATTATGATTTTTCCAGAGAGACAAATGAGAAAAAATTGGGAGCAACATTTCTATTTTTATTTTTTATTTTCTTGTTTTAAGGTTACTGTGGAGGGAGAATTCTACCACAAGTCATGTTTTAGGTGTTCTCATGGGGGTTGTTTCCTAACACCCTCATCCTACGCCGCTTTGGAAGGAATTCTTTACTGCAAACACCACTTTGCCCAGTTATTCATGGAGAAGGGAAGCTACAATCATCTCATCAAAACTGCTTCAATCAAGAAGAATGGACAACCACCAATTGGACAGAAACCTGAGACGACACAACGAGGAACCCAAGTAGCAGTAGACCCAGAAAACGACAATTAGGGAAGCATATGCGCCGCAAGAATTATAGTATTAATGTTTTGGTCAATTTGTTTGTTTGGGACTTCAATGAGACTTTTTTTTTTTTTTTAAACAAAAGATTTATTTATTTCTAGTTCGGTTTTTCCAACGTAGAATGCTTTGGTGAACAAAAAAAAAATGTGGGGATTTTCCCACGTAGAATGTTGCTCAATTTGTCGCGAGGAAGGACTTGCTTTTGCATAAATACACTGCTCAAATTACATTGATTTTTGCAGCTTTATTGAAGGGAAGAAAAATTTGATTTCTTTTTTTTTTTCCTCTTCTTTTTTAACATGTGACAATGTGTGCCACGTTAAAAACGACAGCAATATCAGAAACGGGAATGATTTAAAAAAAAAAAAAAAAAAACCAAAATGAACGCCTGATAAAACATCATGTGGAGAATGGCAACACCATAAAAGGGAAATTGATGATCTGAAAAAAAAAAAAAAAAAAGAGGGAGGTTGGGGGTGGACAATAAAATTTAAAAGCCACAAAATAGAAAAAACGACAATAGAAAAAAAACGACATCACATTGAAGACAACAAAAGTACATGAAGGCTGTCATCAGAAAACACACAAACGACTTTAAGAACATCAGAAGTAGGAACCGCAAAATCCACTCTTTTTCTGTTTCAAACAAAGAGAATTGGCATTTGGCCAAGTTGTGAGGAAAGAAATTATGAGCTTGCTCTTTTGTCATTTTTTAGTTAGGTGACTTGAGTGTAGATCTTAAGTTGAGTTTGAGTTATAACTTAAGTTAAAGTTCTAATTTGAGTTTGTGTTTAGCTGTGTACATTTGATATAAGAATCTTTTTGAGTTTGTGTTTGAGTGAGTCAAAACTTAAATTTGTATTTAGATAGCATTTTAATAAAAACTCAATGCTGATGAAAAATTTTAATAGGGTATATGGGTGGGGTTTTATTCGTTTTTTCGTTGTCAACGCATAGAAAAAAAAACCATCGCAATCAAAATTAAAACGAAAAAGTTATAACATTTTTAAGAATAGAACAAATACTGTTTATTAATTTGAGTTCGAGTTTCTGAACTCGAGTTGAAGGAGAAACTTGAACTCGAGTTTTAGTCTCAAACTCGAGTTCAAACTTAAAAGAACATGAACTTAAATAAAGTTGTAATTCGAGTTACTTTTTTGAGTTTTTGACTCAAAAACTCAACTGCCGAACAACCCCTATATTCTTCACAGCCCTTTTCAGAGTAAAAAGGACACGAGAATGATGTGTTGGGATTTATTTTTTGAATTTTGTATTGATTGTTGGGATTTGTTTCCCGAAATTTGTATTGATTCTATTTGTTTTGTGATTGACATTATTTTGAAAATAATTGGCTGATTAATTGAGTTTGAGATTAGATGTGCAGCTGGCAAGATCTTTATGGAAGTTTTCTGAAAGATCTGGAAACTTATTTTAGTTTCTATTTTTGAAAGTCAACTTTTGATCCAAAGATGGTAAGTTGATTTGATTGATATTTGATGGAGATTTCGTAGCTGTATGAACTTCTTTTGTTTTCTAAGAACGTGTCCAGGTTCATATAACAGTTTTGGGAAGGTTTCAGCAGAAAGGAGATTGATATGGACTGGTTTGGAAAAAGTCGACCATGACAGCTATATTGCAGTTATTGTTGCAACAAGGATCTGCAACAGATTTGATTCAGCGAATTATTTTGAAGAGATCGTCAAGCAGTTAACTTTATGCTTATTTATTCAAAGAGTCTCGGTTTATTGTACACCTTTTGATTAGTTTTGCTAGGTTGTGAGAGAGGTGAACACTTGTATTCAAAAGAGATGATTTGAGTATTTTTCAGAAGAAAAAGCTTAGTTGGAGGGATTCCAATATTAAAAAGTCGAAGGGATCTCGTTATTAAAAAGTTGAGGGGATTTCGTTGTTCAAGTCCATTGAGAAATTACAAGTTCATATGCGTCTTCTTAGAGAGGGAGTCTCGGGTAGATTAAGTCCAATTGAATTGTAAAAGAGTTCTTAGTGGATTGTTCATCATCTGGGCGTGGCCCCGCGGAGTAGGTTGTTACCGAACCGCGATACCATTTCTCTCGTGTTCTTTTATTTTACGTTTCTACATTATTTATATTGTCTTATAAAGTATTAAAAGACTAAAACTGGTACCAACAATTGGTATCAGAGCGGGTCACTGACGTGTATTTCGGTGAGGTCCTGGTGAACTAGTTGATTTTTGTAGGAATGTATGTCATGAGAGAAGGAGGATTTGTAAACAAACCACCGTTTCTGGAAGGTGTCAATTACCCCTATTGGAAGGCTCGCATGAAAGCTTTCATTAAAGCTATTGATGAGAAGGCATGGCGATCTGTCTTAACCGGATGGACTCATCTAACAACTAAAGATGATAAAAGGCAATACCGTCCCTAAGCCAGAAGAGGAATGGTCTAACGATGAGGACAAGTTAACAAACAGTAATTCAAAAGCATTGAATGCCATTTTCAATGATGTGGATGTTAATCAATTCAAATTGATTTCCACATGTGATTCCGCTAAAGAAGCGTGAGATATTCTTCGAACTGCACATGAAGGTACGGATATGCATATTTTTTATAAGAAAAAATACTATAACGAATCATGAACAATGATTCGAATCATGACACGAATTGTCATACTAAACACTCTGTATTGTATCTTTCCCATTTTCTCTCTCTTTCTTTTCAGATTCTCTCTCTCTCCCGTCTCTCTCTACAGATTCTCTCTATTCTCTCTCTCTCTCTCTCTCTCTCTCTCAAATCAGATCCAGTGATGACCTGACGACGGCCGCTTTGCGATTCCGACGAGGTTCCTTTGTGATTCCGGCGAGGTTCATTCTCTCTCTCTCTTTCTGAAACAAGATCCGATGAGGTACATTCGCGATCCCAATCTAAAGCGCATGGATCTCGATAGGCGAGATCTCCTCGAGGTAGAACCTTTCTGGCGCGGTGGATATCTGTCACGAACAAGTTGGCTAGAGATTTTGACGCCGTTAGTAATTATAATTTTGAATATGATAAATACTATATTCAAATGTAAATACTTTAGTAGTTAAAATTTGAAATTTGTTATATTTATCGATAAATATGGTATTTACTGATAAATACAGTGTTTAATGGTCACTAGAGTTAGTGGTGAGATTTTTAGATAAATTTGATATTTATTAGTAAATACGGTATTTATTAGTAAATACAGTGTTAAACGGTCACTGGAGTTGGTGGTCGAATTTTTGGATAATTATGATATTTACTCGTAAATACGGTATTTATTGGTAAATATGATATTTACTAGTAAATACAATGTTAAACAGTAGCTAGAATCAGTGCCTGAATTTTCAGATAAATATGATATTTACTGATAAATACAGTGTTAAATGGTCACAGAAGTCGATGGCTAGATTTTCGAGTAAATATGATATTTACGAGTAAATATAATATTTTCTAGTAAATATAATATTTATTGGTACATACGATATTTATCTATAAATACAACGTTAAACAATCGTCGGAGTTGGTGGTCAGCTTTTCGGTTAAACATAGTATTAAATAGTAAATATAGTGTTAAACGGTAGTCGAAAAAAAGCCACCGAAAAACGGTCATCAGTCTTTAAAAAACGATCACAGATTGCCAAAAAACGGTCTTCAGTCGTCAGATTCAGTTGCCAATCCTGACCATAGTGGACTTAACTATAATCTACCTATTTTAAAAAAATATGTTATAATTTACTATTTTTTAAAAATAATATTTAAAAGGGATGAGTAAGATAAAAAATGAGATTTAAGAGTATTTTTAAATTTTTAATAATACTTAAAATTTAAAAGATCAAATTAGATTATAATTTATTATTTAAAAAATAAATTATAATTTATTAATCAATTTACCAATTATACTATTTCTCTCGTTATCTCTTATTTTGTAATAAAAAAAAAACTTTGATAAAAAAACGAGAATCTCATCATTTTAGATAAAAATTTTTCTAAAGCTGAAATGGCATTTGTTGATTGGGACCCAAATCAAGAACACAGTTGTGGCTCTAGTGGTCGCACACAGCTGAAACAATACCAAAGAAACGCCACGTCGAATTCTCTCTGTGGTGAATAGAGTGGTACTTTTCTCTCTCTCTCCCCTATCCCAAAATTCCCAGACCAAGTCGAAGCTCAAACACAGAGAGACAAGCTCAAAAACTCACCAATTCACAAAAGCAAGCTAAACCCACCAATCCAATGCGCTTTTAAGGCCGTCTGATGAGCATAAAACTTGTTACATCGCGGAGAAAATGGACGGTCTTGCTCTCACCGTTGCTCAAAAACTCACCAATTCACAAAAGCAAGCTAAACCCACCAATCCAATGCGCTTTTAAGGCCGTTTGATGAGCATAAAACTTGTTACATCTCCGAGAAAAATGGACGGTCTTGCTCTCACCGTTGCCACTGCCGGTACAGTCTTCTCATCTTCTTTCTGTACGTTTCGGCGGATACCCATTTGCACATTTTCGTTCAAAACGAGAAGAAGAGTGATAAAGACTAGAAATTTTTGTCGAGGGTCCAAAAGATTTGCAGTTTTTGCTTCGAAAGAAGAGCCCAAGCTCGACCCTTTGGACCAAATGGAGCTCCAGTTCGGACGCTTGCTCGGTGAGGACCCAAAACTCACCCTTGCCAAGGTCTCTCTCTCTTTCTCTCTCTCTCTCGTCGTTGGAAAAAGTTCTATTTAGGTTCTAGGAGACATTAATAGTATGTTTTTTTCTCAACAACTTGAGTTGAGAATTGGAGTTTTGAAAGTGAATTTTATGCGAGAGAAATTTTTATAGTAAAAAAGTCGTTGCTATCACCTTAACGACATTTCCAAATCATAATTGTGAAGTGAACACACCAGGGTTGAATGAGAATCAGAGAGATATTACAACATTTATATTTTGATTAGTAGCTGCAAACTTTATTGGCACGTGTCAAGAATTACACGCCCTAATTACCGAACAATCAAAAAGCAAACGAGCAAGAACACACAAGATTTATTGTGGTCCACGGACAATGCGATGTTACGCTCACTTTCTGCCGCTGTAGTAATTTACTATAATAAAAGAAAAAATAAATACAAGAGAAAATTGCACACTCTGTGTTTTCCTGTAACTTCTCTCTTAATACTGGAAATGGAGTCCCTGTCAATGTAAAGAAAACTTGCGAATGATTGTCCCATCCCCGGAATTAACAGCCCATGCATTAAAAAAGTGAGTACTTATACTCTTGTTATTGAACACCCATTATTTAGTATTTACATAGAATAATATTTGGCTCTCATTAAGCTTTTGTAACCATCACCAGAAAATGGTTCTTAAATTTGGAAATGGTGATAGGATCTGTGTAGTTCGTTGATTCGAGTTGAGGCGTGACTTTATGTGAGAGCTTTTTACTGTAGTAAAACAATTAGATGTGACTGTTTCTAAGAGCTTTTTACTGTAGCAAAACTCGAATTCTAAACTTGAATTTTTACTGTAGTGTTCTTGGTGAAGTGATCGCTTTTAGAGTGAGTTTTGGTCTTATTGTTGACACACGATGAGTTATATGTTGTGTTTTGTGTTTCAGATAATGGGTAGGAAAGCAAATCCTGATGCTACTTTTATTGACATAGAGAAGAGTTTTTACAAGAACAAGGGTAAAATGGATGAAGTAAAAGGAGTCCCTATTGATTGGGCTAAAGATGGGCAGTCATCAAGTTCATTGGATGGCCTGAACTTGATTCGGCCTGTTCCAAAGAAAGGATTTGAGTTCAAATCTGATGATAATGATAAGCCAATTGTATCTAAGATTAAAAAGCCGAGTCGGTCAGTTGGGAAGGCTGCAGAAGGCATTAAACATAGTGTTCCTAATGTTATTTTGAGGAAGCCCAATATGGTCAATGAGCCTGATGTTGATGATAAACCATCTAGGTTGAGACTTAGACCAAATTTGTCGTTGAAAATGAGGAACCGGCAAGCAAAGGAGGAATTTAGTGACATGACATTGTTGCGCAAACCTGAACCAATGAGTGTGAATGAAAGTAGTGATGCAAAAGAAGAGCGCAAGGATGATGTGAGTGACGTTACTTTGTTAAACAAGCCCAAAGCAATTGATATCAAGACACAGATTGAAAGTTCCGCAGAGCAGGTTGCTAGTGTAGATTATGTAGAGTCTGATTTAGTTTCTGCAACCGTAACTAATGGCTCAAAACGGTTGTCGGAGTTGACTGGAAGTGCCAATGTAACACCTAGCAATCATGAGGAATCAGTGGAGATTTCATTTACTGAGAAACCTACTCGTAAGGATGAATGTCTTGTCAATACAGCTCTTTATTGTTGCAGAATTTATAAAGCTGGAAATTAATATTATGCTTGGATTTCTTAAGGATTACAGCCAGATGAGCCAAGTGTTGTAAGTTCCGGTGAGGAGAAGATAGAGAAGGGACTTCCTCATACAAGTTCAGTTTTTTCCAGTGCCAACTTGTCCGTGGAAGCTGCACTAGTGGGAAAACCAAAAAGGTGAACAAAGTCATGACTTATGCCCAACATTTCTGTGTTTCCATTATCTGCTTCTACCTTTTTTTGTCTGACAAGTTTGTTTTCTTATAGATTAGACCAATCTGTGAAAGGGACATCAGTTAGTCCTGTAAGTGCAAAGAAACCTATTGGATCTGAGAATGTTCTTGTTAAATCACCTGTGGAGGTCAGTTTATGCGGTTTTATGTCTATTTTTGTGTTTGATTTGAGTCTTTATTGTTGTGCACTGATTCTTGATGCCTATAAATTAATAGGGAATTGAAGATGCTGATTGGACTAGAGCAGAAGGCCTTCTAAAGACAGGAGATAGAGGAGAGGTGGAACTTATAAGCTGTAGCACGAGAGGTTTCGTTGTAAGTATACGCGGCACAGCAATATAATAGGCTTTAATAAACTACTTTCTTTTATGCATTTTTTTCTTGTTGGTTAAAGTCCTTTTACGTTACGAACTAAATTACCTTGTTTTGCAGGTATCTTTTGGTTCTTTAATTGGATTTCTTCCATACAGAAACCTTTCGTCCAAGTGGAAGTTCTTGGCTTTTGAGTCATGGTTAAGAAGGAAGGGTTTAGACCCATCATTATACAGGCAAAATTTAGGAATTATCGGGAATTACGAGGCTGCAACCAATAGTTCTCTTCTTAGATCAAGCATAGATCCGAAAATTGATATAGAAGTTGGAGGAGAAATTTCACCAGATATGAAACTGGAAGATCTTCTCAAGATTTACGAACAAGAGAAAATTAAGTTCTTGTCATCATTTGTTGGCCAGGTCTGCAAACATTGATCTGATACTAGAAGCGAGTTTTGATTTGGTAATGAAATTTTGTTTTAATTTCTTCTTTCTTCTTTCAATGATATAGATAAACTAATGTTTTTCAGAAACTCAAAGTAAATGTACTGTTAGCGAACAGAAAATCTGGAAAGCTTTTAGTCTCACTAAAGCCAAAAGAAAAGGAGGAGTTGATTGAGAAAAAGAGAAGTCTTATGGTGAGAGGCTGTATCCATTTTGTTCTTATTTTGGTCTCTAACTTGGACCATCTGCTTTTCTCATATTTTCAATAACGACCATTTCCATCTCTTATGGCAGGCTAAACTTCAAGTTGGGGATGTTGTCAAGTGCTGCATTAAGAAGATTACTTATTTCGGTATTTTTGTGGAGGTAAGTGAGATTTTCATGAGTTGTACTCTTGTTGACATTTTGCTTGGGAAGTTTTCCTTGCAACTGATGAGTTGTGTAATATGCAGAGCCACAACACGAGATCCTACTTTCGAAAAGACAATATTTTTAATTGACTTTGCTTAACTACGCTGTTGCAGGTTGATGGAGTACCGGCATTAATACATCAGACAGAAGTATCCTGGGATGCCACACTGGATCCCGCGTCATATTTCAAAGTTGGCCAGGTCAGGTTATAAACCAAACTATAATCGAATTGGTGATTTTTCACTCAAGTAGATTATACATTCTCCTAAAACTAATTTTTTCTACGCTTTGTGATTCATTACGAGTATTTTTCTGGTGTCAGATCGTGGAGGCAAAAGTTCACCAACTGGATTTTGCACTTGATCGCATATTTCTATCACTAAAGGAGATTATGGTATCCAATAGCTATTTTATTTCAGATATCGGGGTTTTGATAGAAACCCTTTTTGTTAAATGAATTCTTGATCAATTTGTTTCTTATGGCAGCCTGATCCATTGATAGAGGCCTTGGAATCTGTGGTGGGTGATCATGATCCCTTAGATGGGAGACTTAAAGTGGCTGAAGCAGATACTGAGGTTTCTACATTTTCCCTTAGTAATAAGTAGGAACCTTTACGATGTATTCATCTATTCAAAAGTATAAAGAACATGCGCTTGGGAAAGGAGTCGAATGAGTAATTTTATACTTTTGTTCTGTACATGATTGTCATATCTTGTCCAAATTATTTGACTTTAAATTTGGACAGTGGGCTGATGTGGAATCTCTCATTAAAGAGTTGGAACAAATTGAAGGGATCGAGTCTGTATCGAAAGGCCGCTTTTTCATGAGCCCGGGTTTAGCTCCGACATTTCAGGTATAAATACTTGAGATTCTTATAATCAAGTATTTGCTCTGTCACAGATATCAATCAAAGCTTTAATACTCTGGTCTTTGGCTAAAGAATATTGCAATATGTTTAGTAGTCCTATTATTTATTGATCTTTCTTTTGATTTAGCGAAGAACGGGGTAGGAAGCCCGTTTGACACAGTTTTTGTTTTTGCTTTTAATCAGTCAAGGGTTGGAACCATGCTTTTAAATTAACTTAATGCGTCTTAATGATTTCTAAACTTTCTAATAAGCGATAAAATATTAGAATGAAGTTTACATTGTCTTACTAAAATGCTGTTACAAAGTTTTAAATTCTTTTCAGAATAGCTTTTTTGATTAGTCATATTTTGTGGTTTCAACTGAAAGTTCATCTAGAGAGTCAAAGTTCTTCTGAGAGATCATCCAAATATATCGAGAAGCATTTTTTGGACCCAAAAAGCCGAAAACAGCTTCTAGACACCCGTGCCAAAAATTCAAAATTATTTATCTTCTTCTTGTAGGTTTATATGGCATCCATGTTTGAGAACCAGTACAAGTTACTTGCAAGATCGGGAAACAAAGTACAGGAGGTAAATAAGTCAAGTCCTTACCTGAAAATTTTATGTCTCAACTAAATTCATTTCTTTTTGAGCACTCAAAAAAAGGCTTTTCTTCACTTGTTGTAACCACTCAACTTGTTATTGTTTCTCCCATCATTATATGTCCCTTTATGAAGGAATTAATGTCTAAAGCTTGTATTTTGGGCAGGTAATAGTTCAAACGTCATTGGGTAAAGAAGAGTTGAAATCTACAATTCTAACATGTACCAACAGAGTGGAGTAGTTAGTCTAATTCCATGGGCTTTTCCAGAATATATTACAGTCTGAAAAAACAAAAGAAAGAAAATCATATCAAAAGTGGGAAATGTTTCATTTTCAATTTTCATTTATATATTTTTTTCCAATTATTTCATTCTATAGAGTATAGACAGAATCTGTATATTCTTTTAACCGTTGTGATGAAAATCATACTAACGTATATTAGTATCCATTTGATACACATATTACACAATCTTTTTCTTCATTAGTATGAAAACGTGATTGAACCATTTGCTACTAGTAGGAATTTTTCTTTTTGACAAAATTTACTACTAGATGAAGATTAAAAAAAAAAAAATTTGATAATAAGAAGACGCAAAGAAGTTTTGTAGTTGATCTTCGAAATGAAGAAGCAGCTAATGAAGAATTTATGAGGGAGATTTTACGGTACGTTTAGTTATTAGTTAAGTTTTTTAATGGTTAAATTTGTATATTTTTTAATTTTTATATAATTTTACATAAATTTAATTGATAAAAAATTTAACTTATTGATATATTAACGTACCAAAAGATTCTTAAAAAAAAAGTTGAACTTTCCGTTAAAAGCATTTCTAAGGGGGAAAATCTTCATTAAAAGCATTTCAAGCCTGCTTTAGAAACATGATTAGCTGAAAAGAGAAAAGAAAAAAAAAAAAAGAAGAAGGGAGAGAGAGAGACGACAAAGATACGCTTGACAGAGTGTTGTAATGTTGTCTTTTACAACTTTAGACGCATTATATACTTTTAAATTTTATTTATTTTATTGATTTGAGTTTAGAATTTGAATTTTATTATAATAAATTTTTTTTAAAAATAATCATATCTAAATTTTTTACTACAATAAAATTTTTTTACATAAAATTACATATTAATTTAAATTAAAAAATTAAATTAACGAACTAAACTAACTTTCAGTTAGTTCCAAAGTTAGTGTCGTTTTAACCATACAGGATTACGACCTAAATATTGCACATGCAAAAAAGTAAGATACGGGTGATATAAGAGAAATGCTATAATACTAGAAAAATGGGAGCGTTATTTTTTTTACTCATATTTTATTTTTTATATTTATTATTTGATATCTAATATTTAATGTTTAAATTTTAATTTAAATAATAATATAATATATTAATAAAATTTACATGTGAAATAATAAAAATATAAAATGATTAAAAAAATGACTTAAAAAAAGACCATAACATTTCTTGTAATACTATAATATGTTTTTAAAATTTTTTTTGGAATAAGCATCACTATAATGAGGGGAAAAAAAAAAGAGAAAATCAAAAGGGTACTATTTAGTATTATTATTTTAAGGCCGTTAAGTCCGGGTGTCCGTTATCTGTGCTGTCGTGTCGTGTCCGCTAGATTACAGTGGTGGACTGGAACATGATGAACCATGTGCACGTACTTTCCCATTTGACCAAACTGCCCTCACCACTCGAACTCTATCCCCAGACAAGACAAACAAAAAACAAACCCAACCCTTCTTCTCTCTTCCTTAATAGTAATGAACTAATGAGTAATGGGGCTTTTTTTTTTTTTGTGTTAATCATTTTTATTTTTTTATTATTTTTCCTTTCTTGAAGTACTAGCTGTTTAGTGCCTTCTTTACAAGTTACAATTGCCTCGGAAGAAACTCCACTCACTTTTTTTTCAAATTTGGAGAAACTGAACTAGAAACAGTCTTTTTGTGCACAAGAAACTCTGACAACCTCTCTCTCTCTGTTGCTTTGTTTGAGAGAGAGAGAGAGAGAGAGAGAGAGAGAAATGGGTGTTGGAACAAGCACATTTGTGATCAGATGGATCAACTTTCTCACCATGGTAAATATTTTTTCACTTAAATCCTTTGTGTTCTTTTTTTTTTTTTTGCTCGTTCATTCTTCTTAAAGATGTTTCTTTTGGATATGTTCATGTTTTACATTTTTGCAAAAGACGCTTCTTTTCTTTTTGCTTCATTTTGTATTTTGGGTTCTGTAGTTGGTTTATAACGGAGAAATATGCTAGAATGACTAGTGAAATTGATTAAATAATTTTCTTTATTTTTTATGAAGATCGACCACCCCATCGTTTTTTTTTTTTTTTTTTTTTAAATAATCGTTGTTGGTCGTCCGCAGTCATTTTACAAATAAAATTTTTTAAAAAGTTATTTTACTAATAAAACTTTCCTATTGAGTTATTTTTACAAGGGCCTCGTTTATAATGTCTCTCTTCTTGTTTACTTCATCTGTTGCTTGACATTTTGATTGTATTTTTTTTAGCTCGATTTTTAGAGCTAGGAAATTGGAGTTATAATGGCTAAGGAAAGAAATTTGGTATATGTTCTTTCTGTTGCTTGCTTTAAATTAAATGCTTGTCTGAGCAGCTTTTAGCAATCTCTGCCGTTTTGTCAATTTTGCAAAATTGGTATTGTAGTGTTTTCAGATTTTAAACATCTTTTAGCTTGATGCTTAAAACAATCTTCAGAAAACCTGTTGAAATAAACATTATATTGCCAAACTAGGACGTTTGGTTCATAGATTCAGGACCATACTTGATTTACGTGTATTTTTTTGAGAGAAAATACTGTAGCGAACCGCGAACTATGATTCAAATCATGGCATGAATACACCAACCAAACGCATATTTCTTAATATATAAATCCGAGCAACAATAAGGAAAACTTACTTGCTTTAAATGCGTTGAATGAACAGCTTTTAGCAGTTGGTGTCGTGGTTTTCGGGGTGTGGATGAGCACTCACCACGACGGTTGTCGGAGGTCCCTCACGCTTCCGGTGATATGCCTTGGGGGTGTCATCTTTCTTATGTAAGCCTTGCCTCCATAACTCAACGTTGTTGTATTCTTTTTCGCCTTTAGTTTTTTCCTTTCATTGTTATTCATTCGACATTCGTGTGTGTGGTTTCTTTTGAGTGTTTAGATCTATAATCGGCTTCTTGGGCGCGTGGAAGAACAGCTCCATACTCTTGTGGATTGTATCCTTGCTACATGATATGAAGATTCTATTTGTTTTTAATCCATATTGTTGTGTTCTTACTTCTTCCTTAACTTTTCACGCGCAGTATCTGATCTTGTTGTGCTTCATATTGGTGGCGATTCTGGTATTCACTGTATTGGCGTAAGTATATGCAATACGAGAGGAATCTTAATGCTTTATATTTTTTAAACTATGCTTGCACTTTCTTGACCTCTCTGTATTTAACTGGTTTGTCATTTGAAAAGCTGATAACGTTTTTGCTTCACTTTTGACCATTTGATGGTGTACTGTAGCAAATAGAGTCATTGATTTCCCTTCTACATTCTAATGGCCTGTTTAGTTCGCTGATTCAAGTTAAGATGTGACTTTATGTGAAAGCTTTTTATTGTAGTAAAAAAGTTAGATGTGACTGTTTCTGAGAGCTTTTTATTGTAGTAAAAAAGTTAGATGTGACTGTTTCTGAGAGCTTTTTATTGTAGTAAAAAAGTTAGATGTGACTGTTTCTGAGAGTTTTTACTGTAGTAAAACTCAAATTCTAAACTCGAATCGGTGAAATGAACGGGACCTTCAAATCGAGGTTTTCTTAATTCTCGGTTTGAAAACCTTTCTCATCTGCCTCACAGAGGATATTATACAGATAACGTATTATAGGTATAGCTATATGGTTAGAGTGGAAGTTTAGGCAAAGCAGATTTTTAAAATTGAGATGATGGCTGAAACCGATATGCAAGGCTCAAAAAAGTGGCCATAGCATTTAGCTCTCACTAAGGTTATAGTAAGCAGGGAAATATCGGTTGCAATGTAATGTTATTGAGATTGTATTGTGCTTATTTTATGAGTATCATAAGGAGTGCCTCAAAAAATATCTATTTCACTTGTAGGTTCATTGTAACAAACAATGGTTCCGGTCACAGCGTAGATGGTCTGAGGTAAGAATTCAAGCTGTTTGTCTCTTACCAAATACCAATGTATGATACGGTAAACAGAAGAAATGAGGTAAACAGAAGAAATGAGGCAGAGAAGATAAAGACTAAGTAGCTTTAGATCATCTATCATAGATAAAGCATCATGCTTCAAGCCTATTTTATAGTCGGCCTTTGGCCACTTTAAACTACTAAACAAGAGTCATCTCTTTTCTCTAAATTTTGTGTATATTTGCGGGATGGGAGCTTTAATGTCTGTCTTTGCATGATCAGATACAAGGAGTACCAACTTAAAGATTACAGTTCGTGGTTTCTAAATCAGGTAATGATTTTTTGTTACTAGCCCTGTGTGGTGTTGTTGGAAGGTTATCTTTTACCATGCAATAATTTTGCTTGGTATTGATTCTTCGGTCATCCTGTTTTAGCTGAACAATACACATAACTGGAAGCACTTGAAGAGTTGTCTTGTGAAATCCGCAGACTGCAATAACCTGTCAAAAAAATATAAGGTTTATGTTTTTTTCTCGTCAAAATTGCTATTCTATCTTCCATTTCAGCCTGGCTTGCGTTCTTTTTCATTGTTTTTACGGCATCTTTGTTGTTCATTGCAGACTCTTAAGCAATACAAATCAGCAAAACTGACCCCAATTGAGGCTGGTTGCTGCAGGCCACCGTCTGAGTAAGTAATCCTGACGTTTTCTGTTCTTTGATTCATCGAATGCAAAAGTATAAGTGAAACTGCGAAATGCAAAAGTGCATGTTTTGTGTTTTTTCCCTATATTATTATTATTTCACAGTTGTTTAAGTGTTATGCCAGTGTGCTTTAGATGATATTTAAGACGAGTGAAACTCCAAGTTTCTGACATTATTATTCCCGGCCCGGGATTGAACTTTATGCATAGATGTGGCTATCCTGCTGTAAACGCTTCATACTACGACCTGAGCTTTCATCCAGTTAGTTCTAACAAGGACTGCAAACTCTACAAGAATTCGCGCCAAGTCAAGTGCTACAATTGTGATTCTTGCAAGTAGACATCCACCACCCCATATTATATGCTTTTCCCCCCTTTTTTTTCTTGTTCGTTTCTATCAACACTTTTTCTTTTTTCTTCAACCAATTGAATAGGGCTGGAGTTGCACAATACATGAAAACCGAGTGGAGAGTCGTTGCAATCTTTAATGTTGTTCTCTTTCTTGTCTTGGTAAGGCATCTTCAACAATTTGTCACCATAACCTTGAACACCAAAAAAATAAGTAAATCTTGTAAAGACTTGCCAAATAGTTGCCTACAAAATGGAACTTTAGGTGGTAATTCAAGATCGGCCTTAAATATATGGTAAATGTGTTGCATTGCTTCATTTCTACTAGCTTTCCTCAGCCTCGTTAGTTTTTGTTTTGCAATGCCAGTCGATGATATATTTCGTGGGTTGCTGCGCGAGGCGAAATGCAGCAAGAAGCCAATCCAAAGCTTGAAAAGGGCTATCGCTCATTCCGATTTTTCAAACAATGAAAATTGAAACAAAATTCATTATTCAGCGGTTGTTAGTTTGTGAAGATCGACCAATGCAATCGGTTAAGTTGTTGCTTCTGATTGTTGTATCAACAAGGCAGAAGAAAGATGAGCAAATCTGTTATCATGATGGCGTTTTTGAGTTCGTAGCACTGTGTTGAAGCCACTATTGTAAAAAAGAAATGCTGTTCTTCGAGTATAAATCATTGTTTTCTTCTTCATGTTTGTATTTTTTTTACCCTCTATAGTACTTGGACAATGATGGCAATCTGTATTCTGAGGAAGTGCAAGAGGTAGTTTTGGATAATGAATTGTTAAATACAAAATTTATCATCCCCAACGGGCAACGGTGTAGAGTTCATATATCAGCACTGGACATTTTACGATCTAATGAAAAAGAGAGCCTAAAGGCAAAAGATGTCGTTTTCAAGTTCTCGAAAGAGTTTATCGTTTTCAAGCTGATGTAAGATTCCATGATATATTGTCCTTTCTAACATTATTGAAAAAATGGCTTTTAAAGAATAGTAAATTCGTGAGACGTTGTAGATATTATTCATATGTTGTCATTCTTTGAATTTTGTATTGTCGTTTTCTCACATGTGGTCTTTTATCGTTGTTTGAGGGGCACTGTCGTTTTGAATGTCCTTTGGAGGCGTTGTCGTTTTTCTGTTTCCCTATTTATAGCGCTTTCTAAACTTTGTCGTCGTTTTATCTATCTTGTCGTTTACTGAAGAATAATTTTTTTTTGGTTTGTTTTTTAATGTTATCTTTTCTTCTCGTGTTTTCCTATTAATGTCGTTCTCCTCAAGTCCTCAACTTACTATTGTTGGTAAATTTTATCGTCGTTTGCAGATAAATTTAGTTTTTTTTTTTTCTAAAAATATTTTTTTCAACAGTTTTCGTCGTTTAATGATATGTCATCCTTTTAAAGTTTTGTTGTCATAATGGCGTTGTAATTTTCTGAAGGTGCCGACGCTTATAGAAAATTACAACGCCATTCTGACAACAAAACTTTAAAATGATGATAGATCATGAAACGACGAAAACTGTTAAAAAAAGAAAATATTTTTTGAAAAAAAAAAAAACTCAATTTATCTGCAAACGACGATAAGGTTCGTGTCGTTCATGAAGTTATTGTCATTTATTCGACATCAACATATTATAATTTTTGTTTTTAGGGGATGTACTTTCCAATCTAGCAATCCATATTCAATCATAGTGGAGTTTTAGAGAGCTTATTGTAAGCTTTGCTACACCTGATTATTTTTATTTTAAAAAAAATAAATAAAAGAAAAACAAAGGATTTTTTCTATTTGCCTTAATTATAATCACAAATTTAAACCTCTTTCTTGAAGATCGTGATTATATTTTTCGTTGAACTGATTAGATCTTGATTAAATTTCTCAAGATTTTAATTATATCCTTTCTTTCTTGTAGAACTAATTAGATCTTGGTTAAATTTCTCAACACTCTCTCCTTAAAAGTAATCACAAAATTAATTTTTTTTAATTTATTTCACTGTCTAATCAAACAAACACTAAACTAATTACACAAATTAGTTTCACAAAATTCACCTTTTAACACTAAGGCCTCGTTTATTTCACTGATTTAAATTTTTAGTTTTAAATTTCTACAGTAAAAAGCTCTCAGAAAATGTCACATCTAACTTAAATTCTCAAAAAATGTCACATCTCAACTCGAATTGAAAACTTAAATCCACGAAATCAACAAGCCTAAATTCTCGATTGAATCAAACAAGAAGCATAAGATATCACCCCAAATGCTCATGAACCCAGCAACTAGGGGTGTAAATCGGCTGGGTAGGGTCGGGTTGAGCTGAAAAATTGAGCCTACCCGACCAGTGCGGGTTGAGAAAACTTTGGGCCGTGACACTTTCTTAAATCTACAAACCCGCAACCTTTCGGTGACCTCGGGTAGGGTCGGGTTACTCGGGTTGGTGAAAACTAATTTTAATCTATGACTTCATACCTCTTTTAACAGTCCAAAAGCATAAACAACAAGGAGATGAAATAAAATCTTGAGAAGCAAAATAGTCCATATCAAATAAATAGTTTAATCTAGAATAAACAGTCCATATAAAGATAGTCGCAAAATAGAAAATTTGACAAATTAGTCCACTCCAAACTGTTTAATCTAGAATAATAGCACCTTTAGTCCTAACTTGCCCCTCATGTGTTGCAACAGAATTTGACAAATCTTGAGAAGAAAACATAACAAAAAAAAAAAAATCATTAGAATCAAGTTTAGAACAACAAAATAAACAACAAGGAGATGAAATAAAATTAAAAAAAAAATAAGTAAAACGTAAAAAGATTACCTAACTCAATATCTTCATATTCATTAAATTATTCAACGTCAATTTGGTTGATGTGCTCACGACTATGCAACCAATTTTGTGTACAAATCAATGCCTCCACCATCTTAGGGCTCAATGAACTCCTAAAGGGATCGAGGATGCGGCCTCCGGTACTAAAGCAGATTCTGAGGCTACCGTTGAAACATGAATGGTAAGAATGTCTCTTGCAACTAGTGAGAGAACCTTGTAATTAGTTGCATTTTTCTTCCATCAATCTAAAATATCAAAATTTGACTGAGTTGGATCCTCCATAGGGTCTGTCAAGTATCTGTCCACATCATTTTTGTACTCATTCACATTCGTCTCCTTCATTTTCCTTACAAACTTGCTCCACAAACACCATTTTCCTTCTACTTCCATTTTTGCCTCCGTTGTACTTGTTGTTGCCGCCTCCCCACTACTTTCATTAGCCACAGATTCACCCTTGTCCCCACTAAAGCAAAATATTCCTACATCAAATCATCCATGCCTGCTGTTGCATATACTCCAAGCTCAAAATGAAAAACGCAGAAAGAGATATTAACAATCTAATAAAACTTGTAGACACTCTAAATCCATCAAGTGGTTGTTAAAAATCTAGAGAGCAGTGTCAAGTAATCCTAAACCAAAACGGAAACTTGAAAGTTGAGATGTCAATAGTTTTCGCTTTATGAGGTTGTTAGAGCTAAAAAAAAAATCTTATTTTCTTCACAAGATCCTATAAAAAAAAGTTCCATGTACACCTAAATAAACTGCTCAAAAGTTTATTTGGAAGCCAGAAAGCAGAATCCAACTGTCTTCTTCCCTTGTGACAAAAGAGGCTCAAAGTAGTCCCTAAAGATAAATTCAGAAGTGAAAACAGTACGGAAGACCAGAAGAGAATGGGCATAAATGCTTAAAGCTGTATACTTTATCCAACAAGCCATAGAATCCAGGTAGATTTCATTTTTCCAACTAGTTATTCCAATAGTTATACCAAACAAGAATTCAAACAGGAATACCAAATATCCACAAAGGCGATTGGAACTCATAAAATCCACCAAATCACTTCAAAATTTTGACCTTTTTTTTTTCAGAAGTATATAGAATAAATGGACCAAAATTATTATTAACAAAATGACACTAAGAATTGAACTTGTAGATATAAAGAAAACGAAAAGCAAATAACAAGCAAATCAGATAACATTAGAAACCTAAAACCCAAATGTTAAATTTTGTTTCCAACTGATGTTATTTCCTTGGAAAAATCAGACAAAAAACACAGAAATTACAACTGGAAGAAAAAAACATAGGAGCAAGAAGGAACTTACCTGATGAAGCTGGAAGAAGCAAGAATCAAAGAAGGGCCGCCGTGAGCTCCACCTCTAGGGCAACTGGAACCAAAAATGACATCAAGTGAAAAACAAAAATCAACCAAAAACAAAATCAAACAAACAGACCCATTTTTGTTTGGTTTGCTCTGATTAAGAGATAAATCATAAATCAAAAAACAAAACAAAAAAATCTGGATGAAGAAGAGGAACAGTGGCTTACGATGAACGACGAGGAACGGCAAGTGTGAGGAACGGCGAGGAATAGCGAGGAACGGCGAGGAATGGCGAGAAACGGCGAGTAATTTTGGGATGAGGGATTTAGGGTGAAGGAGGAGGCGAGGCGAGGCGTACGTGAGGCGAGAGGAGAGGAGGGAGGTGAGAGGCGAGGACATCATAGCTGCAAAGGACCAAATTAGAGAAGAGACGAGAGACTGAGGTGAGGACTGAGGAGTGAGGACGAGAGATTTTAGAATTAGGGCTAATGCTTTAAAACGGCCGGGTCGGGGCATTGCGAGTTCAAGCTTGCCCCACCCGCCCCCCAACCCGCACAGTGCGGGTTGGGACCATTTTAATCTGAAAAAAAAGCCTATTTAGTCGGGTCGGACGGGTTTTTCGTGTTCGGGCTTAATTCTTACACCTAACAAACGGCACAACCATATACCTCCGCGCAGCAATATTGTGTTTATCGTAGAATTTTCTCCCACCCTCGGCGATGCTAAGCCACTAACCTCGGCGTCGGTTCCAGAACATTAAAAAGAAAATTTTAAAAAAATTTGCAAAAAAAAGAAAACAAAAATCCAAACAATTCACAAAAATTTCTCCTTGTAGATCTGATGAAGTTTCTTTTAGGATAATCAAGTTGTGATGAGCTGGAACATTTTCTTGTAACAGTTTTTGTTTAAGTTGTTAGACTTTCTGTTGTAATGTTATTCTTGTTATTGATGCACTTCCTAGTTATATAAAAGGAAGTACTCACTGTACAAAGCAAGTAAGAAATACACAATACATATTTTTCATTTCTTTTTCTCTTTCTTCTCTCAAGACAGTTTCAATTTCAATATGGTATCAGAAGTAAAAAAAAGCTTCGCTGAACATTTTCCGATTCGATCTTGCTCGTGGTGATTTTCTTCTCTGATTCGCCCTAGCATTCTCCGATTCGTTGTCTTTCGTGGTGATTTCTTTTCTCTGATTCGCAATTTCTCGTGGTAATCCTCCATGGAAACTTCTAGGTCAGGGAAATCGGCCATTGATGATCCTTCAAATCCTTATTTCTTGCATCACTCTGATAGCCCTGGGCTGGTCCTCGTCTCACAGCCACTCACCAGAGATAACTACGCCTCCTGGAACAGAGCGATGATCATTGCGCTGTCCGTCAAGAACAAGCTTGGATTCATTGACGGATCTATCGAGAAACCAGAAGGTAATGACCTAGTCCTTCTAAATTCATGGATTAGGAACAATAACATTGTAATCTCATAGATTCTGAACTTAGTTTCCAAAGATATTTGTGCTAGCATTATTTTTTCTGAATCTGCTTGAGAAATCTGGATTGATCTCCAGGATCGGTTCCAACAAAGTAATGGACCGAGGATTTTTCAATTACGACGTGATTTAACCAATCATAGTCAAGAACAAAATTCTATCAGTGTTTATTTCACAAAATTGAAAACTTTATGGGAAGAATTAAGCAATTTTAGGCCCCAATGTTCCTGTGGAAAATGCACT